TTGACCCAAATTCTAACAGAGGGTGTCCCCGATTCAGCGCTTACAGCCCTGAGTATTAATTACCTGTTTTCATGGACATCTCTCAGCCAAACTCCCTTTTAGAAGTTAGGGTGCTTTCTTTTGTTGAACTAACTGCCTCTAACCTCAGATGCCTATGCATTATATTTATCCCTATTGATTCCTTAAAAGCTATCGACTTACTGAGACATTCCCCCAACAAATACTTTTCCTCCATCTCATGTCCCTTCTGTCTTCCCCCAACCCTCCTCCATCGTGCTAGTTCATTTATGGTTTTACTTCTTGTTGTGGGTGTACCTTCTGATTTCCTTTGTTCTTGACTTTTTTTTGTTAAGACAATAAACTTTTTCAAGATATTGATCACTGTAACTTCCCACATCCCTTAGAGCATCTCCTTTCTCTTCTCATTTAAAAACTTCCTCCAATAGCAACTTGGAAAAAGGTAAAATTAGAACCGTTTCTCACACCATGTACCAGAATAAACTCCAAATAGACTGGAGATCTGGCTGTAAAGAAGGAAACCATGCAAACACCAGAAGAAAACCTAAGGGAATTTCCTTGAAACCTGGTGTAGGGAAAGGCATTCTGACTCAGAAGCCAGCGGCAATGAAAGAAAAATTGATACATTTGACTTCATAAAAATAAATTTTTGCCTGGCGAAAACACCACAATTAAAGACTAAAGGTAAAAGACAGTNATAAAAATAAATTTTTGCCTGGCGAAAACACCACAATTAAAGACTAAAGGTAAAAGACAGTTTGGGATATTTACTTTAAAATGGTTTGGATGGCAGACTTTATGGTATGTGCTTTTTACCACAAAAAAAGAAAGACTGGGAGGAAAGTGTGTGGAACATGTATCACAAGCACAGGGCCTTTTAGTAGGTCGCACGTGTGCTGTTCCAGCTGGAGATCCAACCAGACACAAGTCATGAAGAAACAACCCCAAATGAACATTCTTTAAACAAAGGGGATGGGGGAGGGATGGCATTCTTCACAAATGTCATGTCATAAAAGACAGAGAGGCTGAGGAAATGTTCCAGATGAAAGGAAACTAAAGAGACAAGACAACTAAATGCAAGAAAGGACATTATTGGGTCACCTGATACAACTGGACTGCAATCAATCAGTTGACATAAATGCAAATATCACATCAAGGTTAGATTTACCAGTGGCTACCTGTGATGTGATGATGTGAGAGTGCCTTTAGTCTTAGGAAAACACACTGACGTACTTAGGGTTAAGGGCCATGACATTTGCCACCCAAGCCACTCTCAAACGGTTCAGGAAAAAAGTGTGTACATACAGATGTACACACACACGTGCACACACAGTGCATACCAGCAACCAATTGGGACAAAATATTTCAAACTAGGTGAATTTAGGTAAAGAGTATACAGTTGTTTTTTGTACCTTTCTTGCAACTTTTTGTTTAAAAAGTTAAAGAAACGCCGGCCCGGTGGTGCACTGCTACAGTGCGCCGCTTGGGAAGCGTGGCGGCGCTCCCGCCG